TTCCGTCGTTGTGATCGGTGGGCGTCGTGCGCTCAAGATCGTGCGCGCGCGATTGGCAGAGCAGGTGGTGGCAGAGAACAAGACTTGCACGGTCGAAGGAGGGGAAGGGCAATGGGAAGAGGTGGGGGCTTGAAATGGTGAAGGGGTCGAGCGGGGGGCGTGGGCTTCTTACTGACCTACGAGTCGACAAACGCCTCCAGCCAACACAAGAAAGCACAGCGTGAACGGGACGACGCGCAAGGTCTACAGTCGCGTGACATTTTCATCGGCGCCCCCGACTATCGACGATTGCTGGAAGAACGAGGGCCTGGATGCGCAAGGGGCCTGCGATATGATGCAGGCGACTTCGAGCGATGGCGGACACGTTGCAAAGGCAGCACACGAAAGAAATGACACCAGCGAACGGGTGTGACAGCCACCCCCATTCGTTTGGTGCCCGACATGAGAACGGAGAGTGCAGTGAGCGGGGCTTGAGGGGCCCTTTAGCTGCCCGCCGCAGGTACTACCGCGTCGGGGGCTATGACATCAGGCGGTCCCTTTTTTGACGGACCCTCCTCACAAAATCGCACGGTCCGAAACCGTCGCGGGAGGGCGGGTCGTGATTGCGAGAGGACTGGCCTTTTTTCACCATGATATCGACGGGCCCAACGCATCATCTGGCGCAAAGTTTCCTGCCCACTTTTGATTATCGGGGCCCGAGCGGATTTTACCGTGATATCGACGGTTCCAACGCGTCATCCGGCGTGACTTTTCCCGCCCACTTTCGTTTCTTGGGCCTCGCGTGGATGTATCCGCCATTTGAATGACGGTGGCGCCATTCCACGAATTTGCAGGTGGGCATAGTAATTGTCCGAAGCAGCAGGCAATCGCATGTGTCGCCAACCCTCACGGCCGAAAATGCCCGTCGCGCGCCCGGACCACCCGCCCTTGCCAGCGACACAGCCATCTCGTCGCCGTCTCCCCCGCCGTTTGGCTCGCTTCTCTCTCTCTCCCTCGTCGCCATATTCCTCGCCTCGCCATCTCCTTCGCGTTGCAATCTCCTTCGCGTCGCAATCTCCCACGTCTCCATTCGCGGTTTTGCCCTCTCACGCGTCGGCACCTCCCTTTTCGCGCGTCGCGACACGCATCGTCGTATTGCGGTTTGAGATCATCAACCAAGTCGCCGGGGCCATTGTTTCCAACAACAGTTGTAAATCGAGGAAAGAAAAGGTGCGTTCTCTCTCTCATTATATCTCCCTTTCTCATCTCTCTTTTTGTCTCACTCCTCGTCTCTCTCTCTCTATTTGGCTTTGCCTCTCTTTCTCTCTCTCTCTCTATTTGGCTTTGCCTCTCTTTCTCTCTCTCTCTCTCTCTCTCTCTCTATCTATCTATCTATCTATCTATGTCTCTGT